AGGTTTATTATTAACTTTGGCTATGAAGTCCAGCAAAAGTTGTATGAGTGCTACCCAGATCCATTTTCTCTACAAACTAGCTAGTCCTATAGCTAGTCCCTTGGAGTGTAAGAGATATTTTTTGTAATATTTCATTGCCAAAGATTACAACTCTCCACTTAAGCGTCTGCTTTAATAGAAAGATTTTAAATAAGCAAATTGGTTGTATAGGTATGTCCATGTTTTATACTTACATAGAACACAGTCACCAATCAAGAATTGCCCTGGATCATCCCCAAAATAGTGGCTATTGCCATTGTTGATTAATTTAAGGCTTTTCAATTCCATGCACTATGTAAATTTAAAGCATTGGCTTTCTACCAAAGCATGTGACTGTTTCATACCTGCATCAGAACTTTGAGTGCTACCCAGATCTACTGTTAGCCCTGTCTAACAGTTTAAAAAGCACTGAAGCTCGGCGGAGTTAATTTATTCAAGGTCACAAAGCAGGAAGTCACAGAGCCAGAATTTAATCTGGTTTTGATAGTGGTATGGATGACCCCCTGGCCCTCCCTTACTGTGCCCCACCTTCAGCAGTGTGCTCTGGTGTCACATGTGTTCTGTCACTCCTCCCCCTTCAGGAACACCCCCCCACCCCCCACCACACCCATCACCCCACCCCACCCCCCGCTCATGGTTCCCTTTCCAGTTCCAAATTACCTACCCCAAGATTCAGATCTCAACAATATACATTTCAGTCAAGGGTTTAATGGAAGATGTTGACCTGGGCCTTTTGGTTTGGTCTTGATCTACAGACCAGACTAGATTGGAACTCATTCTACAGTCTAGACTGGCCTCCAGTTACAACCCTCTTGCCCCAGAACTGAAAACCTTCATTAGAGCATCAAGAGACACATCTTTTCTTCTTATTATTTAATATTTTTTCTTATTTTGTATATTGGTCCCAGTTCCCTCTCTCCCATCTTCCCATGCCCCCATCAATAAGTATTTTTAACAAACAAACCAACAGAAGCAAGGAAGCTGTTTTTGTCAAACTAAAAGTTAAGTCAGTGGCATGGATGGCCTTGGCATGCTGTTCACATCTAGACTTACTCTGCTATACAGTATGGAGAATATTCTGATTTATTATTTTTATTGTTAGTGATTTACTTAGTTTTATTTTATGTGCACTAGTGTTTTGCCTGCATGTATGTCTGAGTGAAGGTGCTTAGAATTGGAGTTGCAAACAGTTGTGAGCTGCCATGTGGGTGCTGAGAATTGAACCCTGGTCCTCTGGATGAGCAGCCAGTGCTCTTGACTACTGAGCCTTCTCTTTGGCCCCAATTTATCCATATTCTACAGGGAACTGGTAGCTTGGATTTCTGAATGTTCTTCAGTTACACATAGCCAAGGATGCCTTCCTCTGTGGCTTGTACAAAATGAGCTGCTCTGCAGTGCGAATATTGATGTGGTAGTAAGAAATGAACTCCAACACATCCTTATGGAACACTGACATATTTCAAAGTTTGCATTGTTGTCTAAATCACAGTTCTAACTTGAAATTCCAATCCAACCTCTTTCTGATCTTAAGGATCTACAGAATTCAATTTGAAAACCCAGAGGCCTAGAGAACGAGAACATTGGGCGAAAATCCCTATTTGTGACTCTGATCTCTCTTGGGCTTCACAGGTAGAACTGTTTCACACCGTTTCTTTCCACTCCTAATTATAAAATACAGTGCTTTTCAAGAAACTTCTACCTTTCCATGAAGGCAAATTCCATGAAGGCCTGGGGATGTAACTAGTGGGTAGGATGCACTAAGCCCACATAAACTAAGTATGACAACACACACTGTAATCCCAGTGCTCAGGAAGTGGAATCAGGAGGACCTGAAGTTCAAAGTCATCTTCAACTACATAGGGAGTTCAAAGCTAGCCTAGGCTAGAGACCTTATCTCAAAAACAGAAAACATGGAATACAGAGATGGCTCCCCACCCCCAGACTTCTTGATCTGGGAGTGGCGGGCACAATCAACCAGGAGCTCATCATACCAAGGAGATTTCTAGGCCCAGGCATTTGAGAGAAGAAATGCATCAGCTCCATGCCATGCATTGTGGCTGAGACGGACAGGAGTCAACCAAGCTGCCACCTGTGATCCAACCAAGATCTCTGGTCTAGGCAGCCAGGCACCATTATGGTGATTGATTACTGGGTGGGAAAATGGAAGGGGTAGAGATGATCGAGAGAGGGGAGCAGGAGAGCTGACCCCCCCCCTTTTTATCTCCCCTACAGCAGTAACTGGCTAAAACAGTAGAGCTGGCCCTGGTGATGTGAGTGTGGGTAACCCTGATCTGAGAACCCGAGAGCAGGAGAACTGGCCCAGATCCTTGCTGCAGGCTGCATTGGGTGAGGTAGTCAAGGCAATGCTGGAGAGTGAAGATGAGGGCAGAATGACCAACCCAGCTGCCACCCAGGCCCAGACTCAGGGCTATGAGTTGGTCCATCCCAACATTCATTTCATCTATGAACTGTTGGAACATGTGAAGGGGATGAAATTACAGATCCAAAACTGCAGGGTATCCCAGGATATGCACAGGATAACAAGATACCCAAGAGGAGCCCCAGTGAGAGCCCATCATAGATGGTATAGCAGAAACCAGAGGCCTCAAGCCAGACCAATGATTCGTGGCAATGAACACTTGCAAGATGGATGTACTAAAGGGTATAAAGTGTGTGACTCAACAGGCCACACTACAGCTTCCATGACAAGGTTCTTCTTTATTTTTGTTCTGTTGGGTTTTGGGGTTTTCTCTTAAATTTGGTTTTGTTTGAGTGGGGAAATTGCAAGGGTAGAGAGAGGCTATGGGGGACAAGAAGATAAATGGGATTGGAATGCATGATGTGAAATCTGCAAAGAATTAGTAAACATTAAAAAGAATGAAAGAAAGAGAGAGAAAGAACAAAAGGAAGGAGGGAGGGAAGGAAGGAAGGGAGGGAGGAGGGAAGGAAGGAAGGAAGGGAGGGAGGAGGGAAGGAAGGAGGTCAGGCATGGCTTCTGGGGGAAAGGATGTCAGTCCCCTCAGTGGTGTAGCACCTACTAAGTTGTCTGTGCTACAGCAGACTCCTTACCACATGCTCGTGCTAGCCAACTCTGCTTAAAGTCGGTGTGCCACAAAATAAAAGCGAACCCCAAAAGACATGAAAGTAGAGGGGACATACTGGAAAATGAGGGTTCAGCAGGGGTGGGGGCAGCTTAGAGAGGCCATGGGGTAAAAGTAACCGAAGTTATAACAGAGATGTTGATATAGTTATATATGAAATTCTCAAAGATCAATAAGAATAGAAAAGAATGGTAGCTAATCTCCCCCACAGGCCAGTTTCAATCAACGAGATAATGTCTTCCCTCTGCTTTCATCCTTACCAAAGAAACTAGTCTCGTGCTAACCAGTAAATTACGTTTCTATCGTGCATGCTGTTTGTTTCACAGACTTAAAAGGAAAGCAACTATGAAAGTCCTCTGTTTTTCTTTTTTCAATTTTATCCCGCCCTTCTCTGTGTACAAAACCTTTCTAGAACATACATCTCTCCAGCAGCCAGATGAACCAAGTGTCTGCAGCTTGAAAACCCAGAGCTGTCCCCCTAAGTCTCAGGTTTTACCCTAAGAAAGATGTGAGCACACATCCCAGTTAGGGAAATCTCCATGGTCCTCCCCACGCATGCTGTGTGTTTACCTTCTTGAGCTCCTGGGCCCTCCAAGAGCTCCCTGGTTGTATAGACTTCACCTGACTGGGCCTCCCTGGCATGGGACAAGGCTGCAGTCTAGGCTCCCCATTCAGTATCTGCTGATGTCACTGGAGCAGAGACACAGTGTTTTCCCTGTATCCGGACAGGTTTTGTCAGTAGTCTCTACTGTGCCACACTGTCCTTTTCCTTGCTTTTGTTATCAGAGAGAGCATGCTTTCTAGGGGCTTCTATTTGATTTTATGTTTTGTCTGTCTGGTTGATAGCTTCTCCAGCACCAGTGGAGAACACACAGGAACCCCGGAACTGGGGGTGGGGACTGGGGGTTGCAGGACTGCCCACTACTGTCAGTCTTCGGTTTGCTTTGCACAGGAACCCGGGAACTGGGGGTGGGGCTGGCCCAGGAACCCGGGAACTGGGGGTGGGGCTGGCCACTACTGTCAGTCTTCAGTTTGCTCTGCACATGATGCCAAGTGGCTCTTGCTCAGTGAGAAAAGAGAGCTGGAGTCCTGCGTTCTCAGAGGGCTTGTTTCCCTCTGAGCCTACTGTCTCCACCTAGAACCATGAGGGGGATCTTTTTATGCACCAAAAATTAAGAATCCAGAAACACCTCTATCTTTCTGAACAAGTTGAGGTGTCTTTCCCAGAGGCTTCTGATACCCAGTGTACTCTCATGCATAGGCTGAGGGCCTGGAGGAACGCCAGAACTGGATTTATGAGACCTGAAAGCTACCTAGAGTAGTGTGATGCTATTGTTTTCCTTTTTCTCTCTTAACTCCAACATATTCCATACAAACACAATAGGAATACTAAACACTAATTTGAAAATGAATTTTAAAATAGCACAATTAAGCTGGGCAGTGGTGGTGTACACCTTTAACCCCAGCACTCGGGAAGGCAGAGGCAGGTGGATCTCTGAGTTCAAGGCCAGCCTGATCTCCAGAGCGAGTTCCAGAGCAGCCAAGACTACAGTGAGATGCTGTCTCAGAAAAAGAAATAATTAGATCATGTACATTTCCCCTCTGGGAGCCCCCCCCCCCGCCCCGAGATATTGTTAAAGAAATAAAAACGAAAACAATCAAACAACGAACGTACTTTCTTTTTTTCTTGTTTTTATTCCAGTCTTCACTTGGTTGACGTTCATACAATGGTTATTAAGGTCCAAACTTTAACTACCGAGGTAATATGTGTACTCCTAGACCTCTTTCTTGGTTGAAATGGAAGATCTACCCTAGGCTGATGACATTTAGGACTGAAGCTGGCACTGCTTCTGATGGTTTCTACTGGAAGCTGCTAAGGGTTCTCCTTTTCCCCGAGAGAGTTTTTCTTGCAATGCGGGTGTTGAAGCGGTTATTCCGAGCCTTCTTTGTGAGACATGCATCAGAGTTCCTGCAGATCTTTTCTTTCCTAGGAAACATGCCCTCCATTGCCCTCGGGATCTGCTTGTTACCTTCCATCCTGTCTGCTTCCACAAACTTCGGACATTTCCTGTCCTGCACCTGCACCTGCAGTGGCCTCTCGTGCTGGGGTCCCGCTTCCTGGAGCTGGAACTCGCTGAGAATGTCTACCCTCTGCTGTAGAATCTGACATTCGTTCTCCAGCAGGGCTGCGATCAAGTGCAGCGAATGTGTGTCGTGGCTCAGCTTCTTAACCTGCGCCTCCAGCTCCTGCTTGGCTGACAGTTCGTTGTTGGGCTGGTTTTGGAAACAGATGCGATTGTTTTCAAAGGGTTCTCTCCTTTCTTTCTGGCACTTCTGATAGGACTTCATTAGTTGGCTGAGCTCGTTGTGTTGTCTACTCCAGTGATCTGCTTCCTGCAGTAACTGCTCCATGTTGTTCCTGAATCTTCTATATCCCCTGTGAATGTGAAGGGATCCATACCGGCCTCTTTCCGTGTTCAGATGAATGTCATCACAGTCTCTCTTCCCTTCCGAACTGTACAGATCCCTTGCATACGCTTGCATCGTGTTCTTAGCACTCTGGTTATTCAAAATCATCTCCTGCTTCTTTGTGTTCCGTTCTTTCTCTGGGTGGAAATTAATGAGCATATCTCTAAATCGCATTTTTTTTCTCTTATCAACAACTCTGACTTTAGGTTCTGACATATCCTCAGAAGTGCTGGTATTGTCAAAAGACTCCCTGCCTTCTGTAGTGATCTCCTCAACACCTGCTATACTTTTAAGAACATCTTTGATGTCTTTTAAGAGATTGCTAAATTTCTTCACTGTCCCTGGTCTTCCTAGTGGATGACTACTATCCTTTGGTGGTGGGAGGGAGCTCCAGCAGTAGTGGGGGAGTGATCCAATTTCAAGGAGGGAAATGGTGATCCCAGGGTTCTGTGGTCCTTGTGGTCCTTGCTTAATACAAGAAGTAAGGTTAGGAGTTTGAGGCAGGGCAGCTGAGCTGTCAGAACTGGCCATCAGGACCCGAGGGAGGAAGAAAACCTTGGAAATTCCAGGTAGGACAGATGGCAGTCTCGTGTGAATCGGTGGAGAAGATGGAACTGAGCAGGAGTTATGGACCAGAGTTAATGACTGAGACCAGGGAGATGGTGTTCAGGTAGATGGTGACATCTCAGACAGCCTAGGGGGAGGGGATGGGAAGGGGGACTGGGAGCTGAGGCTCCATCTCCCTTCTGCTAGGCTTCTGGTATTGAGGCCCTAGCAACTAAGTCTTTATTGTGTCATCGCTCCTCTGGGGCTGTCCAGGCATTCTGTTTCCTTTGCATCACAATGGAAGCCTCTTAAATTCCTGCCCACAGCTCAGACAACACAACCAACCTTACTGGAGATAAGACCCCTACAACACTCTGCTCCTCTCTGCTAGGCGCTTCATCCCGGGGGCATTCCAGTAATTTCCTACCTCACCCTCCCACACCCACCCTCTCTCTACCGCACTGTGCCAACCTCAGCCACAGAGCAACCTAAGGGTACAGCCCAGAGAAACCTCACCAGGCCCTCGCTTGGAAGAGGGTGTTATTGCTCCTGATACTATCAAAGAGTTAGGGATGCCTGGTGGATTTGAATGGCCCCCATTGGCTCAAAGATTTGAATATTTAGTCACCAGGGAGTGACACTATATGGATTAGGAGGCTTGCCTTGTTGGAGGAAGTGTGTCCCTGGGGGTGTGCTTTGAGGTTTCCAAAAGTTCATTCTAAGTCCAGAGTGTCTCTTCCTGCTGCCTGCTGAACGGGACGCAGAACTCTCAGCTACCATGTGTGCCGTCTGCCGTGATGACAATGGATTAAACCTCAAACTGTAAGTCAGCCCCAATTACATGCTTCCCTTGATGACAGTTGTCATGGTCATGGGGTCTCTTCACAGCAATAGGACAGTGATTAAGACAGAATACAAAGCAGAACTCCCAAAGCTCCATTGATGGGAGATGCCATTATGTATATATGTTTCTCATACTGGTTAATAATAAAGCACTGTTGGCCAATAGGAAAGGAAGATAGGAGGGACTAGGAGACAAGGAGGAAATAGGAAGTAGGAAGGAGGAGTCAAGATGGAGAGTCTGGAGAGAGCTGGACGTCAGCCGCCTCCCCGGTAAGAGAAGGCCATGTGAAAATACATAGATCAGCAGAAATGGGTTAATAATTAAAGGCAGAGCTAGCCGATAAGAAACAAGTAACCAGGCCAACAGTATTGTATCAAATACAGAGTCTCAGTGTGTTATTTGGGGCTGGCTTGGTGGCGGAACAAGAGCAGGTGGCGGGCAGAAAAACCGTACTTGTTACAAATGGCGACCACATGGCTAGTAAAAACTTACACTTACAATTTAACAAAAGCTTAAAAAAGGGTTTTAGAAACAAAAAGAACAGAGACAAGCAAGGTTTCTTGGTAGCAGCATTTTTCTCAGTTGAACTCTGCTTTGCTAGAGACAAGCAGATATTCGCGCGGCTCCTTTAAGGGAAGATTCCTGACTCAGCATAAGCGGCAAAAAAACCGCACAGCTTTTAAATAACTCTGCTAACAGTTTATTGATGTGTATGAGAGATGGCAATGGCAGTGACCACATCTCCAAGCCGGCAGCATGCTTTCTGGGTGGCAGCGCAGACCAAGGCGGTGAGCACAGCTTTCCGTGCTGTCAGTAAAAGTACCCGCCACCATCTTTGGTAAACCGCGGCTGACACAGCTATGACTTTCATTTTAGCAATGTTGTTGTTTACCAGATAAAAGACTTGTGGCCAGACGAAGATAAAGATTTACAGTAAAGACAGATTCATATTAAGAAGAACCTCTAAAGGTTTACAGTGTGTTTTAGAATATACGTAGACATGAAAAAAAAAATGGTTTTAAAGAGACAAAGAGGAACTGGGTGTTGTAGCACACGCCTTTAATCCCAGCACTCAGGAGACAGAGGCAAGCAGATCTCTGTGATTTGCAAAGTAAACCCGGTATGCAAAGTAAATTCCAGGACAGATAAGAGTTACACAGTGAAACCCTATGTCAAAAAATAAAAAAAAAAAAGTAAAATAGAGTAATAATAAAGCCACGTAAAGATGAAAAGCTCAGAGAGAATCTGGTTACTGTATGCTATTGTGTTGTTTCTGCATTGTTTGACTGCTGAGAAAATAACAACTGATAAAGGAAATGCTGCTGGATTAATTCAATTTATATATTTTAAAAATGCTTTGAATCCAACATCCAAGTTCAAGGACAAGTTACTGGGGAAAAGGATTTCTATTTTTGTTTCCACAGAAAATGAAAAGCTGTGGATTCCTTCCAGACTAATGTGGTTTGATCAAGCCAGGCCCCCTGAAACAGAGTCGCTGGTGATCCAACATTCAAAACAGCTTGGACAAAGCAGCCTCGCAGACTACAGCCAAGATTTCTGCAACTTCTTAGGATCCCCATGACAGCGCCCCTATCAGCAGGAAGTAGTTTGGAAAGAACGACGCCCAAATTCCCAAATATTGTTTATAAATGTTTGTTTTCATTTAAATGGACTTGGTTATAAATGGTTAAGGATCACAACCAATATCTTTTTAAAGGTAAAAAGGAATTATGGTATAGATATGCATAGTTTTTTTGGAATGGATTTTCATTTATTGATACAATTTAAGGTCAATTTTGTCATATGTATATTTCTCCTCTTGTTTGTATAGCTCATTTAGAAATGTAATGTATAATGTAGTACAGATTATAGATAATTACCTATGATAGTCAAAGCTTAGAGTTTAGTTAGGGTTTTCAAGATACACAGAGATGTATTTAAGATAGATAGGAATTCTTCAAACCTTTCAAAGACCTACAGAATATGGCATTTAAAATGATTTAGGGTTTTACTTGACAATGAGACATAATTGCTCCTGGTAACACCACCTGCGTCAAAAAGGAAGATGGACATTAAAGAAACACGTTATGGAGTTGACTTCCAATATGGCAAGACTAGCCATTTGGACAAAATACTGCTCTTGTCTGGACTGTTTGACTTTGTGCTATATAAACTGGACATGCAGGGCCCACAGAAAAGTGACTGCTGATTCACGATGGACATTGCTACAGAAATCTGCTTCATGGAAGAGTCTGCCAGACAGTCTGCAGGACACAGAGGAAAGTGACAGACAAACTGCCAATACAAGAAGACAGTTTAAAGTTTCCTGCTTTGCTGAAGAGTCTGCCAGACACACTATGGCCTATGGGCTGAAGATGGAAGATTACAGAAGAACTTCAGGTGACTGACAAGGCAAGATGTCTCTGTCATTTCTAGAGTTTATATACTATCCTTCTGTGGTCTTTGAAGGAGTTGAAGACAGATAGTTATGGTTATAGTTTTCCTTAGTTAGGATTCATTGATAAGGTACATATAGGACTTAGACTCACAAGATAAAATAGATGATGGAATATTTTCTTAAATCTTACTAAATGTTAGTGGACTAAATATTAACTGTGATTCTTATTGGATAACTGTTATGTGATATATTTTACTATGTTAAGGTTAAAACGCTTCTTTTTATTTAGACAGAAAAGAGGAGATGATGGGAGATGCCATTATGTATACATGTTTCTCATACTGGTTAATAATAAAGCACTGTTGGCCAATAGGAAAGGAAGATAGGAGGGACTAGGAGACAAGGAGGAAATAGGAAGGAGTAAAGAGGAGCCAAGATGGAGGGTCTGGAGAGAGCTGGACGCCAGCCGCCTCCCTGGTAAGAGAAGGCCATGTGAAAATACATAGATCAGCAGAAATGGGTTAATAATTAAAGGCAGAGCTAGCCGATAAGAAACAAGTAACCGGGCCAACAGTATTGTATCAAATACAGAGTCTCTGTGTGTTATTTGGGGCTGGCTTGGTGGCGGGACAAGACCAGGTGGCGGGCGGAAAAACCTATACACCTTACACTCCATCGTTAGTGATTTTTAGGGAACTAATATCAGAACTCCCTCTATTCAAAACTATTCTACTGAAGCCCAGTGGTGGTGGTGGTGGTGCACGCCTTTAATCCCAGCACTCAGGAGGCAGAGGTAGGCGGGTCTCTGTGAGTTCAAGGCCAGACTGGTCTACAGAGTGCCAGGACAGTCTCCAAAGCTACACGAAGAAACGCTGTATCAATCGCCCCCACAAACAAAACAAAAAACTATTCTATTGAATGTTGAGGATATTGGAATGAATCAACAACACAATTACAAATTAAGACTCCTCTTTCTCTGTCTCTGTCTCTCTCTCTCTCTGTGAGAGTGTGGGGGGGGGGGGAAGGAACCCAGGGCTTTCTATATCCTCTGAACTTCATCCCCGGGCATCCAATCATGACTTTTTCAAATAAAATATGGAAGCTTTAAAACGGGCTCTCTGAACTTGTTACTCTTCCACTCAGTGCTGCAAATTTGGCAGTTTCTCACAGTACCTGATGAAAATGACAATTAATCTAAAATATTTGAAATAACTCACTCCAAAAAAGTTGCAGAAATGGAAAGCTCCCACTCAACTCCCATCCAGCAAGCATCCTGAATAACTAGAATAGAATTATCGAAGCCAATGTCAGCACAATGCTAGCATCTAAACTACTTCATGGAGTCAAGCCACTTAGTCAAACGTAATAAAATCATCCGAGTTCTCCTGGGTTACCCAGGTGTTCTGCTCCTGGATCATGCAGCATTTCCTTGTCGTGTCTCCTTTTTTCCGGGACTTTCCTGATGGTGACTACAAATTTCTAATCAGTTTCTACGGTTATGAAATTTAGGTAAGAGTGTCATGGAAGTGGAAGGCCCGCAGTTTGTGTCCCCTAAATCTAGTGGATTCCACTTCCTTGGGCTGTTTTTTGTCCAGTGCACAGTTACCATGTTTCCCTTTGTGGTTAACAGGTATATCTGATGAATCGTCTTGATATGTGAAGGTCCTGTTCCCCCCTCACATTTTTGTGCTGACTTAAGTCCCACAAGAGACTATAGCCTGTGTTGTTAAAGTGTTATTTTAA